AATTAAATTGTGAATAAATTTACTTAATGTTTTATTAATTTTGGACAAACCGTTCAAAAGTTACAAGAGTTACAAGAGATATAATAAATAATTGCCTTCAACGACTTTAGAAAAATATTCTAGTTTCAATTGTTTTGTTGTTAGACTATACTGTAGATAATCTAAGTTTAAACTAATTTACTTAATATTTTATTAATTTTGGACAAACCGTTTGAAAGTTACAAGAGATATAATAAATGGATGCATGGACCATTCATATACGTAACAAACAAATGCACTTTTAATTAATTTAATTTATTATTATTTATATTTTAATTAATGCATTTTTTTCAATTTAATTTTGTTCCAACAGTTGTAAATTGTAATATACAGATTTGTAGATATTTTTATTAGCTTTTTAACGTTGTATAATATAATATATGTGCTGGAACAAATTTTAACAATATAAAAGTAACTTGGAAAAATGTAACCACATACAAAATCAACTACAAGCAACTGTATATTCACTTTTAAAGTTTGAATTTTTTTCTAATTAATTTTGTTCCAAAAGCTACAAATATTTATACACAGATTTTTAGACAATTTTATTAGCTTTTAAACGATGTATAATAATATATACGTGTTGGAACACATTTCAAAAATATAAACGTAATTTTCAACCAAGTACAATAACTACAAGCACTTGACTGTTCACTTTCAAAGTTTGAACAATTTTTTAGGTTTAATTTTGTTCTAAAAGTAACAAATTGTTTTACAAAGATTTATACATAATTTTATTAGCTTTCTAACGAGGTATAATAATATATACTCGTATATGTGCCGGAACAAATTTGAATATTATAAACGTTTAGAAATGTAACCAAGTACAATAACTGCAAGCACTTGAATGTTCACTTTTAGAGTTTTGATTTTTTTTTCAATTAATTTGTTCCAAAAGTGACAAATTGTTATATACAGATTTATAGATAATTTTATTAGCTTTTCAATGATGTATAAAAATTAATACATGTTGGAACAAAATTAAACAATATAAACGTAAAGGCATAAAGTGACTATTATTTTTTTCTACTTGCCTCCATCACAGTCCATACTCTGGGCGTCAACAGGTTTCATCATTCCATTAGGCAGCACAAAACAAGGAGCACCCGCCGGAGTGCCCCCTTGAAGGACACTAGCTCCTTTAAGCAAGGCATAAGGAACAATAATCATAGGATTTGTAGGCAAAGCCAAAAACTTAGTCTGATTAACATCCGTCTTGGCAGCCGCTTCTCTCCTGGTTTGGCAGTAATGAGTCTTGTGAGCCCTATAGGTTTTGTTAGAACTGAATTTGATATCGCAATCGGAGCAATATCTATCGGCCAGATCCGGATCGGGAATCTTGGATACGTCTAAAGACCCTGTATCGATTGTGTCAAGGGCTCCTAATTTGTTAAAATCTACTAAAGATACTCTAGATGCCAAATTGGCGGTGTCTAGTAATCCTACGCCCAGTTTTTGTAGGTCTTGCAGGGTTGTTCCGCTGAGTTTTTGGAAATCTGCTAAAGACACTCCGATTTTGGGGGCTTCTGCAATGTTTTCTGGTGTGTTTAGGGTTGATGTTGCTGAAGGGGGTGTTACTGCAGCCCCGTGCATCCTCATATGACGATTTAATGACACTTTTTTATCAGCAGAGTAAGAACATTGAGAACAGGCGTACAATTTTGATAGACGTGGTTGTTTTGCCGAAGGAGGACTTCCTGAAGCACGATTTGGCTCTGAAGCATCTAAAAACAAAATTATATTAAATCAAATCCTACACACCACTAGTAGTGCAGTGAACGGAGAGGAAACTAGTGGTGTATGGCATCATGCCTTAAGGCAAATTGCTGGAACTTTCCGTACCGTAATGAAATATTCAAGAAATTTTAAACGTTTTCAAATATATTATTGCAAATCGGAGATAAATCAATTTATCTCCAGAACATTAACAACCGTCATTTCATTCCGAATTCAATTTCAAAAAAAAAATGGTTGCCTAATTTACACAAAATTGAAAAAGTATACAGTATAAGTGAAAATGTCGCACAGAATTATTTGCAAATGCCTAATTATTGCAACAAACATATTATTATGTATAAAATTTATTAAATAAATGTTATTAATAATTTTGAAATAACAAAAAAACTAACATAAGATAAATATGTATATACGTCTTAATAAATATCCTTCTAAAATGTTAAATATTCAATTTTTGCATATTTTTTAAATTACATAATTAATAATACATCATAAACTGATATTTAGATAATTTAATTTCTGAAATTTTTCATAGCTAAGAGTAAAAACAGTGGTCAAAGTTTTCCCAAGATTTGGCGCGTGCACGTTAACCTAAAACAAAGGGTCGATCCAGGTTGCGTGCACTTTTAGGCAAAAACTAGCCCCAAACTGTATTTATTAGAAAAATAATGAACAATATAAAGTCAATCAATGAAATATGACTTATAATACTATTACAAATATTTTTTAATTAAATTGAGTACAACCCTATGTTTATATTACGTATATTGCCAATTGCAAACTTGGACATATTGTAGCGAGTTCAAACCGAATTCATTTGAGTTTTTCGTATAAGAGTGTTTGTGATAGATTATAGGAATATGTAGTAAATTTTATCTAGTTTCTGTTAAATTAACTAGAAAAGAGTATCCTACTCCTAAGTCTAATTTTCTCTTAAATTCGCCTATTTTACTTATGTCCTCTAACTTTAACTTAATTAATAATTAAATAGATATTCACAACACTTCACCTAATCAAATAATCTCCATCTGCACAAGTTAACCTTTTTATTTTATTTTCAATTATATATCTTATTGTGTAAATGAATAATATTGTTACATTCTGTATTATATGTAATTTTATATTAAGCGCATTATTAATTTTACTATTAGATTGTCAAATATCTCCCTTCCGCATTTTTGCTCTTCGTTTATAATACAAAAAGGCGGAAGGGAGATATTTGACAACCTAATATTTGCAAATGCGTTTAGACTGTGACTATACGGGAGCACCTTTTCAATTTTGTGTAAATTTGGCAACTTTTTTTTTTAAATTGAATTCGAAATGAAGTGACGATTGTTAATGTAATAATTGATTTATGATTTACATTTGATTTGCTCAGATATAACGGGATAGTAAAAATAATGAAACTATTACAGTATTTGTAATAATATATTTGAAAACGTCTCGAATATTTCATTACCATACGGGAAGTTATAGCAATTTGCCTTAAGGCACGATGCCATACACCACTAGTTTACACTTACCATCAACAGCTTGACAACTATCATCATCCTGGTCCTTATTATTGACCCTATGGGAGCAATAGTAGGTGCAATGGGCTTCCAAAGTACTTAAACTGGAAAACCTGATTCCACAAGGTGGACAAATATATGGAGGTCCACTTGGAGCAGCTGGAATATTTTCTTTGGCTGCAGCTAAATTCAAATCACCCGCCAGAAGCGTATTTGCAGCAGCAGCCATCTGCTGGAAGGCTGCGAAGGACGCTAAAGCTGGGTTGAGACGCAAACCTTGTTTGTGGGGAACAGATGGCGATACTGGCTTCTTGGAAACTAGAAAATAAATACAATATATATATATATATATATATATATATATATATATATATATATATGTATATATATATATGTATATATATATATATATATATATATATATACATATATATATATATATATATATATGTATATATATATATATATATATATATATATATATATATATTTTGTATGATTCTGAATTTGATGTTGACATATGTATTAACAAAGTCTAATAATCGAGCATAACATCAATAAAAAACATGAATTTCTTTCAAAAATTTATTTTAAATCCATACGTTTCGGCTATAATCCTAGCCTTCATTCAGTGGGAACTAAAATTAAAATTAAAAACTAAAACAATTGAATTGGAGTGAAAAGAAAAAATAAAATAGTAATTAGTACTTACAATTAGTTGATCTTAGTGTTAATTTGGAAAACTTTAATAATCCATGGTATTAGGATATGGTAATGCACTACACTATGTATTATAAACATTAACTTGAAATTACACAATATTTTCACAAAAACTTTCACTCCAATTCAATTGTTTTAGTTTTTAATTTTAATTTTAGTTTCCACTGAATGAAGGCTAGGATTATAGCCGAAACGTATGGATTTAAAATAAATTTTTGAAAGAAATTCATGTTTTTTATTGATGTTATGCCCGATTATTAGACTTTGTTAATATATATATATATATATATATATATATATATATATATATCTTATATAGAAAAATGTAGCCCTCGATCAAATGATTCGGTAAAACTCGAAAAAACTTGAAAAATTCGTGTCAATCCAGAGATTGTCGGAAAGATTGTGAGATATTATTTCAAAATCGCGTAGAAACTTTACATTTTTAATTTGAAAATTTTTGTAGAAGTGTAATTTAAATAAAACAATGGACGGTGACTAACACGCCAAATGTCGAACGTTTTTAACAGATGATGTTCAATTACGTTTGATAGGATGTCTTACGTGAATATTATTTAATTATGATCAAATTGTAGTAAGTAGTTTTGTTTTTAGTTTTATTTGTACACGAAAACGTTAGTAAACGTTTTGACGTAAACAAATTGACGGCTTAAAATATATTTTAAAAATATAAAGTGTTATAAAATTTAAGTATGTTATTTCTTAATATGTGTACTAAATTATACAAATTTAAAATCATAACTTCTAACATAAGAAACTAAAAAATTTCAATGCACACTTGCATACTCTATTTTTATTAGTAGCGAAACGACGGTTGGACATGATATGGGAAATACTTTTGAAAAATGTTTTAAAAATATACAATATTATACTAGAGCTATAACATTTTAGTATGTTATTACCTAATATATGTACTCAATTATAATAATATAAAATCACATACGTTTCTAACAAAAAAAAGCTATAAATGTGCAATTTTGTAAACAAATGCACTCTTGCATATCTAGTTTCCAATAGTTGCAAGTACGCGGTTTTATGAGTTTTTTGAAAAATATTTAAAAATATAAAACGTTATACTAGAGTTACAAAATTTTACTATGTTATTTTTTAATATGTGTACTAAATTATAAAAATATAAAATCACGCATATTTCTTACAAAAACAGCTATAAATTTGCAATTAAGTAAAATCATGTAATAGGGCCGCAAGTGTTACTACAAACTCAACAATATTAACTTTTTTGAAATGTTAATATGAAAATGCACTTTTTGGCATATTTTTCTCAAACACGGTGCTCTAAAAGATCTCACTTGTATAATTATATATTTATTGGTAATTATAAAACATTTTCTAGGTTATATTATTTTTTATTTATGTTATTGAAATTCAGAACCTAAATTTCGTATCAAATGGACATTTTGTCGAATAACATTTTCCCAGTTATAATTTCCCAGAATTTATCGAAGAATAAATAGAAATATATAAAGGTCCGGAGTTAAAAAGCTCCACCACCGATGTGTCAAAAATCAGTAAAGTTAAGCATTGTTTAACAACAATAATTGAAAGTAGAGGGAAAAAGATGTATAACAAGCTATAACCTTGATTCTCATGTCCCTGCTATCGAGAGATAAACGGTGATCTTCGAAAATCCATAATAAAAGTATTTTCTTCCGTTGGTAGTTTTTTAGCATTAGTTAAAAATGTAATTATTTTTGTAAAATACCTTTAAAATTAAAATAAAACATTAAACCTGTTTGCAACCAGGCCGTTCCAATAGGGTAAAAAGGTCTAGATAACAAATTTCTGAAAGACGTCAAAAAAGCACATTTCTACAATAATGAAGTAGAAGGCAGTTTACTGAACGTAGTCAGATAATCGTTCGTTTGATATGTGTTATTTGTTGTGATATAATTGTTATGGTTTTCACAATATAGTTTATATTTGCTCAAAGTCAAATTGGACCTTTGTGCCTCGCCCTGCTCTACATATATACTTTTTATTAAATTTACTTTAATTCATCGAATGTTATTTGAAACTTTTCAAAAAGCAGGTCAAAGAAGAAATACTTAATTCATTTTCTATTTCTCACAAAAATTTGAAAATTTTGTATAAGGTCGGTAGTATTATTTACAATGATACACAAAATCCAGAATCCAAAAAGAATGTGAAAAACTTGAAATGTAATCAATAAGTCGAAAGGCCAAAAAAACTTGGATGGATTATACTATGTTTTCTATAGGAAGTGTATAAAACATCCTGTTAGATTGTATTGACAAAATATAGACAATCGAATGGGGTTTATTGTTTTTATAATACTTTATTGTATATAGTATTCAAACAACACATCATAGAATACACTTTGAAGAATTAATATTTTTGATTCTCTAGAAATTGTTTAGAATATACCTTACTTAGCAAAACAACGTTTGCCGGGCCAGCTAGTATATATATATATATATATATATGTATATATATATATATATATATATATATACATATTTCTATTACCCTTACCTTCTTCGTTAGAGTGTTGAGATTTCGCATCGTCCTCCTCCATAATTTCTTCAGATTGTTTTTCATTTTTGCAATCGTCTCCTGAATTGGAAATTGGAGATTTTTGCAAATTTTCTTTACTATTCGAGTCACCGTTTTCGTTTTTATGATGATGGTCATCATCAGGTTTTTGATGGTCTTCACATTTTATAGAAGGCGACATGCCTGTGAGATTTTCCTCATCTTCGTCTTCTTCTCCTGAGAAAGGAAAAAATATATTAGTAAATATAATAATAAAAAATAACATTTATATAAAAATATACAAAATATTGTTTTTAAATTCATTTTAAAATTGTGTGGAGAAATCAGTATTTTTTAAACTATTGTCTATTTTCATAATTTATATTTTTTATTAATTGAAGAAAATTTGTGGATATTTAGTTTTAGTTTGAATTTTCTGAGTACATAATATTACTAATTATTTTATTATTTTGAACTAAATTAAAAGTTTTTTGTATTAGCAAAATTGTTTATTTAATTTTTCATTTATAATTATTTAGACTTATTTGGAGTTTAGTTTAATTATATGAATAGCTAATATTATTTATGATTTTATTCTTCTGAACTTAAGTTTTTTGTTCAAGTAAAATTGTTTATTTAATTCACTGATACTTAAAAATGTCTAAACCTCTATACTGTAAATTTTGTGGAAATTATGTTAAAATAAAATTAAATTTTACACATTTATAGAAAATTTAATATAATTTTACAGTATAGAGTAACTTTATTATAAGTATAATAAAGTTACATATTGAAAACAGAAAAAATGTCCAGTACTTTTCATACAATATAAAAAATGTGTAAATTAAGTTTTTAATTAAAAATTCTTATTTGTTTTTTTTTTAAATAATAATTATAAATTAATGTATATACCATATGTTAGACATGTGTTATATATATATATATATATATATATATATATTAGGGTGGTCCTTAAAATGGTCATTTTCGAATTTCCTTGCTCCCAGGGGCTCAAATGGTTCCAAATAGATAAAAAACAATTCTCTGAAAGTTTTAGCTCTTAATATTAACGTTTAGATAGAGCGCAATTCAATCAAAGTTTTGTATGGAAATAGCATGGAAAAATTTTCAAAAATTTTCAAAAATTTAAAAAATGTTTTTTAGATGTAATTTAGCAAACAAATGAATGAATAAAACTCATTTATTTGTCGCTAACTTATACCTAAAACATTTTTTTTTAATTTTCAAAATGTTTTCCATGCTCTTTCCATACAAACTTTGATTGAATTGCGCTCTATCTAAACGTTAATATTAAGAGCTAAAACTTTCAGAAAATTGTTTTTTATCTATTTGGAACCAGTTGAGCCCCTGGGAGCAAGGACATTCGAAAATGACCATTTTAAGGACCACCCTAATATATATATATATATATATATATATATATATATATATATATATATATAGGTATATTTAAAATAAAAAAGCACAGTTAACTCATGTGTATCATGTTAAGATTATGCAGTGACGTAGAAAGAGATAATCTTAACATAAATACATACTTGTACATTTTTGTACATATATATATATATATATATATATATATATATATATACACATATATATATATATATTATAAAATATAATGTACAATATCTGATCGTGACACCGACGGATTTGCTGGAAATCTGCTTCAAGTTTATAAAAATATTTTTTTATCAATTTGTTACAATAATAATTAAAGAATGAGTTATTAATTAAATTGTAAAATAATTTGTAAAGATATGAAATTAACTATGTTTTAGATATTGTAAACTAAAGAATCCAACAATCATAATTTTGTGTACAATTTTCAAATTATGAGGTAGAAATAAGGGTACACTTGTTTAATATTTCAACTACGACTTTGTTATAATGTTAGATATAAACATTTTGTTGACTTGAATTTCCATTAAATCTATAGAAAATTATCCAAAAATCTGCATACTCAATACTCTCTAGAAAAGAAATCATAACTTTAAAGTAATGAAAGATAAGGGTACATTTTTTTAGTTTTTTGACCTAAACGTTATATCGCAAGAAATAAAAAAAAGAATTTGCATACACTCAATCTATATGAAATTCTATAAAAATTTACATTTTTAAAATTGTCCTAAATCGACCCACAAAAATTAAAATTCCTCTTTAACACGTAAAATTAATTAAAATCGTTACTTTTAAATAATGGAGTGGCAATGGTACAATTTTTTAGAGTTTTCAGTATAATTTCGTTAAACTTCGAGATTAAATAATTTTATTCACATGTACCTTCACTTTATAAATTTTTTTAAAATTTTATACAAATTTAAAAACCTGTGAGTTAATAATTTTTGAAACTGTTCCAATTTTTCAAAAAAATATCCATATTTATTTTATCTATATATTTGTAACTCGCATAAATAAGAAATTATTAACTTATTCACTAAAATTAGTATACAGATGTGTTAAATAACTATTCTCATATTAGTATTCGTGGTGAATTTAAAATTTCCTATTTTTTTAAAAATATTTTACTATAGAAAAGACAGGTGGATTGCAAACCGTAAAAATAGATCTTTGATGGTAAATGATTTATTTATAATAGAAATATTAATTTATTTACTAAAATTAGTATATAGATATGTTTATTCACTATTCTAAAAACTCTAAAATATAATTAAGTAAAAAACAAAGTTTAAAGAACTTTGTAGTACTTTACAAATGCTGCCTAGAAATGTTTTGGTGTCGAATTGTAGAGAATGAATATGTTTTAATATGTATATTTTTGTATTTTATGCGGATTGGATCTTGATATATATATATATATATATATATATATATATATATAATATCGGAAAGCATATGAAGTGCATATGGTCAGATATTAATCTTTAATTAGGTTTTCATGTTTGAAGGCGTGGTTCCAGAAGTATCTTCCACGAAATTCATAACTTATATATCATAACAAATATATATATATATATATATATATATATATATATAAATATATATAGATACATGTTTTTATTTTATATGGTCGATATATTTGCATTACTTCTTTGATGCACTCCATCGATTCTTAAACACATTACGTATTATTATAATCAATAGAGGTATATAAACCTCATAAAAATAATCAACACCTTAAACAAATGGATAGTTACTATTTTCTGTATGTTTTAATTAAATTTTAAAAATTCTAGAAATATGAATAATGCAAATTTTTATGTTACTTATGAAATAATCAGAGAAGAATCCACAACGATTTAAAATTTCCAGAAGATCCAAATTTTAGTCTAAATTTTTTGGTGTAAACTATTTAGTGTAATGTTAGGTTGTCAAATATCTCCCTTCCGCTTTTTTGCTCTTGGTTTATAATACAAAAAGGCGAAAGGGAGATATTTGACAACCTTATACTTTAGCTGACAAGAAATTGATCATGACATATTATTTACTTTTATTAACATTAATTAAAAAAATAATGCAACAGTTCACTCATTTATACCAAAAATTATTTGTTATTAATTTATTGTTAAATTCCCGTAGGGCAAGTTATAGTAATCGCAAAAAAATCGAAAATTTTTGCATTTCTCGACGTTTCAAAGGTTTCTGAATATTTTGGCATACCTTAGAAAAAATGGATGTGTGTGTGTGTGTGTGTGTGTGTGTGTGTGTGTGCGTGTGTGTATGTATGTGCGGATACAAATTTTCGTCGACGATTTCGGGAACACCGATCAACCGATTTGAATAATTCAAAAAACATTCGATTCGTATTGATAAGGAGACGTGCTGATTAGTTTTTGGCGAAGGCAGGTCTAGCCGTTCCGAAGATACGGGGCAAAAAGTGCCGAAAACGGTAACTCAGTTTTTAAGAGAACGGAGCGTCCTATTTTAATAATTCAAAAAACATTTCACTTGTATTGACAAGGTGAAGAACCGATAAAATTTTCATAAAGGCAGGTCTAGCGGCTTCGAAGATCTAATGAAAAAAGTAAAAAAAAAATGCCATTTGGCGGTCAAAAATGATCATTAGACATATGCACATCAAATTATCAGATACTTCAGAAATTTTAACAATAAGTATAATTTTGGTTTACATTCCTATGGGTTCCGTACCAATGTTTACGCGTTAGACGTCGACGCGGTTTGATATTTCGTCTTTATGCAGTTAAAGCAGTACGATTGCTTTGAAAACTAGCTGTAAGTGGAATTCTGTCTTAAGGCAATTAGGGCATCGTGCCTTAAGGCAAATTGCTGGAACTTCCCGTACCAAAAATTTTTATTTTTTTTAAAAACGATTAACATTTTTGAAAAAAAATTACTTTGAAAAAATAAGATTTTTGAGAAACTATAAATTGGACAAAAAATTAGTTTTTTTTTGAAAAAAAAAATTTTTAAAAAAAAATTTTTTTCAAAAAAAAAAAATTTTTTTTTTGAAAAAAAAATTTTTTTTCTTTATTTTGACATATTGTGGAAGATCTGAACTTTTTTTTCAAAGCAATCGTACTGCTTTAACTACATAGGGACAAAATATAAAGCGCGTAAGCGCCGCGTCGCTGTCTAACGCATAAGCATTGGTACGGAACCCATAGGAATGTTAACAAAATGTATACTTATTGTTAAAATCTCTATAAAATATCTGATAATTTGATGTGCATATGTCTAATGATCATTTTTGACCGCCAAATGGCTCATTTTTTTACTTTTTTCTCTATATCTCCGAAATCGCTGGACCTACCTTTATGAAAGTTGTATCGATTCTTCATCTTGTCAATACAAATAAAATGTTTTTTGAATTATTCAAATCGGACGCTCCGTTCTCTTAAAAACTGAGTTACCGTTTTCGGAACTTTTTGCCCCGTATCTTCGGAACGGCTTGACCTGCCTTTGCCAAAAACTAATCAGCACGTCTCCTTATCAATACGGATCGAATGTTTTTTGAATTATTCAAATCGGTTGGTCCGTGTTCCCGAAATCGTCGACGAAAATTTGTATCCGCACATACATACACACACATACATACATACACACACACATACACACACACATACACACACACACACACACACACACACACATACATCCATTTTTTCTAAGGTATGCCAAAATGTTCAGAAACCTCTGAAACGTAAAGATATATAAAAATTTTCATTTTCGATTTTTTTGCGATTACTATAACTTACCCTACGGGAAGTTAAAAAGTTTAGATCTTTCAAAATATG